AGCCGCATTGGCAAATTTGCTTGCCAAATGTGAAACTTTTTGGGAAATTTGTCAAACTTTTTGTTTTTATATTTATCTGCAACATTGCCTTTTTTATTTGCAGTGTGAAATTCGCGGCCCCGGATTTGTTTAAAATCGGCTTTTACGTACGATTCGTCATCCATAACAATACAGCCAAATTTTTGTATGAGACTGTCGAACAGTTTCCGAGCACGTTGTTTCGCCAACAAATTTTGCTTACCGTTGCGATTAGGTGCTGCATTCACTTTGTAAGAACGTAGTCCTGCTGTTTTGCATACTTTTTGTACATACGAAGACGACATGTTTAATTTTTTGCCGACATCTCTTACCGAAAGTCCAGGATTTTTCTTAAAAGCAGATAACACTTCCTTTGCCTTAATTTCGCAAGCAAATCCTTTTTTTCTGCCACTACCAGGGTTCCTTTTTAAAGATAAACATTCATTGTATTTTTTAAGCACATAAGTAACGGTAGACTTTGGAAATTTTAGCTTTTTTGCGATGTCGTTATGGAACATGCTGGGATTTTCCAGCTTTTTGCGCAATATTAACTCACGATCGATTTCTCTCTTGGTCCTCGTTTCTACACTGATTTTTGTTACTAAAAATAAATGATGCAGTAAGGTGGAAAATGCTTCCAGCTTTTTAAGTGTCTACCGATTTTTATTTTAATGTTATGATTAACCGAGCTATGCTTGGTTATGTGCGACCAGTTTTTTTCGTGTACATTCTTTAAACTCAATCAAAAAATTTACTTAGAACTTGATTTCAAAATGTAAAAATGGGGAATAAAAATGCATTTAAAGCTGGAATTTGTTATTTTTTGGTTGATTTAAGATCTTTACAAATGTCTTATCCACACGTTTGTTAGTTTTATAAAGAAAATCATTTTTGCACTGAGGTTCACTTTCCCATGGAACCTCTCATATGCAAGTATTTGTTAAATGTCTGTTCTTAAATATACTATTATTAAAATCTACCTCTGGATATTTAAATAAAGTCATGTTCGTGTGTATTGCAAAAAGTACGTATTTTCGCTATAGCTTATCAATAGTCCAGACCAGGGTTGTTGCGAATATTCGCATTCGCATTCGCAACCGCGGAGCTTCCGCAAAAATTTTATCATTCGCATTCGCATTCGCAATAATCAATGCGGAGCTTTTGCGAATGCGAATATTGTGCAAGTTCACTGATAAAAGGTATATTTGGCAAACAAAATGAGAAATTGTAGCCAATATTTTTTGCCTATGGAGATACTATGTGAAAACTGTCCCCTACCTCCCTCTTCTTTGTAATTTAAAGTCAAAGAGTAAGATTCGTCAATAGGTATTTCCAGCGGAAATGTTCAACATCTAGCTATAAAGAGAACCAACTATCGAATATTATTTGTCAAACGTCTATTGAAGAAACAGGATACATCGCTAGTGTTTCCTACTTTTACTTACTACTTTCTACTTTTTACTTAGCTAAGTGTAATATTTTTTTTCATAAAACGGCTTATTATGTTAAGTTCCGTGTTTTCTCTTATTACCTATTATGACCGGTTTTACTGTGCAAATACAACTCTGTGCGCTCGAACACAGCAACATTTATTTTAATTTTGTGATAACTGTTAAAATTTGCACGCAGCGAAATAAAAATAAAATGGAATGTGAAAAAGTTGACAGCCAAGTTCACAAATCAAAAAAGAATCTATTCAAGGAGAATTTAATATCTATTGAGGAGTGGGTATAGTATGGAAAGGGCGTAACTCACATTGTCACTGAAATACAAAAAGCCGTAACTAACTAAAAATCCAAAATTCACTTTTTGATTGATTATGATGCATTTCATTGAATCATAAGTCCCCACATCGTTTTATGCAATAAAAAATCTATATATAAATACGCCACAAGAAAATTTTGCAATCCCTTTTCTGAAGGCACCGTTCGCTCGATTTCAATGAAACATACACCGATTTAAAGGACATAGCTTGCTTTAATCCAGAAATTTTAATCTCGATACATAGGGGGCGTGGCATCTGACATATAGACTAAAATGTGAAAACCACTATATCTCTAAAACCAATTAGGCTGGAGAACTGAAACTTAGCACAGATGCATAGAATGTAAATACCCTACTTACGGTGAAAAATGAAATTCTCATTTCGCTTATCTCTGGAACCACTTATGCTAACGTCCTGAAATTTGGCGCAGCTATTTAAGATATCAATCACGTACTTATGGCAAAAAGTGGTTGATAACGGGAAACTGAAATTCTCATACCGCTTATCTCTGGAACTGCCCATGCTAACGTCCTGAAATTTGACACAGCAACACATGTTGTCAATACCGTACTTACGGCGAAAAGTGGTCGATTTTGGAAAAGGGGGCGTGACACCGCCCATACAAACTGAAATTCTCATATCGATCATCTCTGGAACCGCTTATGCTAACGTCCTAAAAATTTGACACAGCAACATATGTTGTCAATACCGTACTTACGGCGAAAACTGGTAGATTTTGGAAATGGGGGCGTGGCACTGCCCATACAAACTGAAATTCTGATATCGCTTATCTCTACAATCGCTTATGCTAACATCCTGAAATTGGACACAGCAACATATGTTGTCAATACCGTACTTACGGCGAAAAGTGGTAGATTTTGGAAAAGGGGGCATGGCACCGCCCATACAAACTGAAATTCTCATATCGGTTATCTCTGGAGCCACTTATTATATGGTTATAAAGTTTTATACACATATACAATCGCAAGAATCATTCACCATTTTCCCCCAGATTTTAAAATCGCATTGAATGATTGTTGTTTTGTGCAAAAGTTTTTAGAAGGATCAGTGTGTTTGTCTTCCGATAGGTGGCGCAGGGATTGTGAGCCACCCTAAAAAAATCATATTTATGATCAGATTTATTTCACTTTTAGAACACATATTAGTAACATAAAATTTGGTGTAACTTGGTAGTCCAGTCGTGTGATTAAAAAATATTGGGCTTTGGCCCAGTCTTGACAAAATCCTGTGTGAAATCGCCGTTAGAGAAGGAAATATTTTCTTTTGTTGTAAACCTTCAAGATACTTTTCAACCGTTAATGATTGTGATGAAAAAAGAAAGCGTTTATGTAGATGTGGGCAATTTAGTATTTAGCCTCCAAGAGGCTCTAAGGCAAATATAGGTAATCGAAAAACTTATTTACAGTCTGAATTGGTATATGTTTGACATATTAGTCAGTGATGAACATCTCATCTATACATACAAATACATATGCATATTTTTTATAAATTAAAATCGAGGCTCCTTTTTCGGTCTAATTTCAAAAGCAACTGAAGAAATTTGGAGGAGACTTGGTAGAATTAGCATTAATCAATCCAGTATTAACGTTCATATTCTGATTTAAAGTTTTTCTGTAAATTCGCTATAAATTATACTGGTGGGCTTCAAAAAAGTAATTCGCATAAAGGAGTTGGTATTGGTGACAGGTAAAATTCAAAAGTGTATCAAAAAGGATGTCAAATTTCGACAACTAGGAGATACTAGTTTAAGTTAGTTTTGCCTGTTTTGCATTTCAGCGACAATGTGAATTACGTCCTTTCCATACTATACTAACGATATGGTGAATTTTTGGGTTCATTTGCCTCAAAGCACATTGAGCGCATGGAATGGTACAACAAAACGGATTTTATGCCTTATGGTACCGACAGCGGTGATTAATTAATTGTGACTGCCTGAAACTAGGAAAAGTCAGAGGACAGCTAATAAAAAAATAATAATTACAAGCTATTATTCATTACAGGTGAACCTTTTCAAGAAGTCACACGGGAATTAAGCCTTTTTACCAAAATAACAAGATTTTAATCTAATTCGGCTGCCAGTCACGACTTTCAAAACAGAGTTTTTTTCGAAATTTTCATTCCTAGGAAATAACAATTTATTTGCCATATCAACCTATTTAGAACCTCGCTATAAGCACACATTTTTCAAACCAATCAAAGAGGAAAGTATTGGAAATGCAATAAAAAACTAAAATCGAAAAACACTGATGGCGTTACATGTTCTCCAAATTCTGAAACAACCAAAGGAATGAGAATGAGGAATTCTTTGGAAAACAACCGTGTTTAAAAAGCGATCTTGCCATGATGCTAGATTGTGAAGATGAAAGTCAGAAGGAAATATTAGACATTTGCAACCCCAATGCAATTCTCAAAAAGGAATTATTGCACCGCCATAAAAAAAGTAATATAACTGAAGGTCTTCTCAACTGGTGCAGCGTCAATCGAAAATAATTTACAATTTTGACAAGTTTCAAGTTTTTCAAGTTTGTCGCCTCGAGCGAGTAGTTATTTGGTGGCGGAGGTTTGATTTGCGACCCTTTAAGAAACAGTCTGTAACCCGCAACGGGCAGCAACATAACTTTTTTTTAAATACAATATTCCAATTTTTTAATTCCAGTAGATACCTGAATCAGCATCCGCGGATGTCTAAAATTCTACATTCGCAACATCCCTAGTCCAGACGTTGTACATGCAAACATACAGGTTACAAGTGTGCTTTATTGACAATCAAAAAACACCCACAAATATGATAGTTCTGTTTGTATTATAATGAAGACCCATAGTAGCTGTCAACACACACCCCTTTTACTTTCATCTTTGTAATTAGTACATATCGCACACTAAATCAAAAACCGGCACAACTCAAAAAATCCTAAATGTTCAGGAGAGGCAAAAAACTGTTGACGCTGCGCAATCGACGCAAACAAAACTAAAAAGTTTTAGTAGTATTTATCCAGTTAAAGAAGATAGTGATGAAGAAGAAATTTTCGCGGACGTTGGGTATACGGTCTGTGAACTGTTTTATGGAAAAAATAAATGTTGACAAATTTTAAGTTCTGCCGGTTTTTTTATTTAGAGTGCGATATGTATGTATGTGTGCCATACAGAACTTAATACATATTCAAATTAAATAAATTTTTGTTTTATTTTTACTTGCCTTCTAAAATTGATGGTTTGTCAGGCGGGCCACCACCCCCTCCAGTTGCATTTCCCTTGCGATCCATTTTTTTCGTAGAGCTGCGTGTTCTCTTCCACTTCTCCAGTTTCTTGGTAACTTTATTATAACACAGGTGTTTTGATAATTTATCGATTTAACTTGGTAAAAAGCGGCGTTAATTGCCGCAGATGCAAGCATAGAAATCTCGCGAAAACAATGTGCAATGTGCTAGTGTCACTCTTATATGTAATAATTGCCTATTTAATTATCACTAGGAGGAAGGGAGGAAGGGTTCGACTGTCCTCCAACACAAAGCTTTTTTTTTGCACTGATAAACCGCAAATCTTTGATGTGCTAAGTTCGTTTTAATTTCTTGAGCTATTTTTTCAGTTTCCCAATTATCACTTTTATATTACATCCACGTACGCGAGGAATATCGACATTCCATTTTTCTCAATTTGCACTGTGCTTATTTGTTTTATTTACCCAGCGGTTACATTAGTCGCATATTTGTAAGCATTTTTTGTTCACTTTCATAGATCAACATACATATATAATATATATGTATTTCAAAATATTCGCTGATGCTATTTTGCAAAATCGTGAAAATCACTTCGTTTGAACTGGACAGTTCAAAGTCTTTTTCTCTTCTGATTATTGGCTATGCTCAGCTCACGCTCTCCACTGGGCTCCACATTATTTTGGTGGTGGGGCTCCTACCCCGGTATAGCTGACGCGTCTTTTTATTGTCTGTATGAATAATGACGCAAACTTCCAGCAGACGCGTCCCAGATGGGTGCTTTAATGTCGTCGATCGTTCCTCTACAAATCACACTTGGTGTACCCACATTTTTACCAAATTTTGTATTTTCAAAAATAAACAAATATTACACACGACTGAAATATGTACTGCGCAAAAATTTCACGACAATCAGCTGATGCCAAAATATTTTTGTTTTCATGGCAATAGCGAAGTAGCACCTGCCAAAGTTCGATGCTAAACACAGGGTGGAAATAAAATTTCTCCTGTACAGAATGGTAAATAATTTAGTTTGTTCCAGTACTCCAGAACAAGTATATACAGAGGGCCTGTGCCAATTGATAGAAAAGTTCTATGGTGGAAAAACTTTTAACTATGGTGAGAAAATTTTACATTTCTGCTGTGCCAATTCGTAACTTTTTACTGCTGGAAATTTTTGACAGTTGCTTTTATGCACAAGAAGACTATCGAGTTTGCAATTTATAAAATGCAGCAATTATATAGAAAATATTTGCCTTTGATGATTTCAATTCTTCTGGAACTGAAATCCATGCATTTATTAGACCTTTTAGCAGTAATATTAGAAATAAAAACACGTCAAAACCGTCTGGTAAGTGTGTTCACAAAAATGTTTAAAACCGTGTACAATTGTTTCCAATAAAAACATATGTCGTTTATGTACATGCAACATGACGTTTATTCCAAAATACTAAGCAGCATTATGAACGGCGATAACAACCCTACTAGACAAACCTGACGGAAACTAATGGGCTGTTTTTGCTTACGCGTAAAAGCACATTTAGCGCATTTAGCTCTAAATGCTACTCTAAATGTACATTTATCCATACAAAATTCGTCACCTAAATGCAACTAAATGCAACTCCATTTTTGCATTTAGAATCTAAATGCTAAAAGCAACCCTGTGATCTTCCAAAATTTCCACGATTCGAACATGGTTTAATGAGAAGAAGTGGCAACATTGCTTTTTCGAGTATACAGTCGCTAGCTGCGTTTCAGTGATCGCCGATCGAGATTTCATTTATTATTTTACATTATTTGGATAAAGAAAAGTTACGCAAATTAAACATCGATATGATGCTGATAGAAATCTGGATTAATTTGTGATCAACTCTGTTTGTTTTGTTTCCTAATTAAGTGTGAAAATTATAATTGACAGCACCGACAAATGAATATATACACAAACCAATGTTTGGTTATGGTTAAAATAATTCAAGCTTTTGTATTGAATTTTCGGTTTAGAATTTATTTTTTCCTTTTCAGTAGGGATTTTTGGACATTATCTTTTCCGTGAGAATTTATCGTAATAGATACGGATCTGAATAAGCGACTGGAACACGGCTGTTTGTCAAAAGCATACGATTTCGAACTCGCGTAAATGTACATTTGCTAAATGCGATAGCATGAACGCTCTTCGAAAACATATGTTCGAAAGTGCTAAATGTTGCATTTTAAATGCAGCAAAAACGCTGCATAATACACACACACCAGTGAACCAACACAAATGCAAGTATGAACATATATTAGTTCAATCCTGTGTACTAGCGAGAATGAAACCCCTCAAAATTTGAAAGAAAGAGATAGCAACAATGTACTACGACTGTTTTCAGCTAATTTAACAGAGTTGCATTTCATGCTGATTGAAAGTAGTTGCTACCTTCAAAATACCAAATATATCCGAGTACTATGTAAATTGAACCATTTAAGATATTTATTTTGGTATTTTACCTTGGAAATAATTTTGTTTTGTATCGAAAATTGAAATAAAAAACGAATTAAATTACATTTTTGTCTTGAGTATAGAAATTAGCCCCACAAAAAATTAACAAAACCAAAAAAATAATACTTGGAAACCAAATTCATTCATACCGAATACTTTTCAGAGCCAAATTTCTCATCACTAAAATTTTCGCAAAGCAACGCGCCCGCCATTTTGAAGTATTTATGTTAAATTTTACCAAATCGCAGAAGAATTTCGGAAAGTTTTGTGTTTTTCGAATCAAATCCCAGGTGGAATATAGCCGAAAATAAGAAGATAAGTATCTTAAATTGTGCATGGTGTAAACAATTGTTTAAATAATATGAAAAAGAGGTATTTCCAAAATTGCGTGAGTAAGGAAAAAAGGATCTTTGAATCTGATGCGAAAAGATTTAGAGAACTTTTGGAATGTACTCAAGCAATGGAATGTGTAGCAAATGTTAATGTAATTGAATGTCCCTCCGTACTTATGCTTCCGAGTTCCCAAAAAGACTTAAGTGTTGGTGTCAGTGATAGTGAGGGTGAGGATAAATGTCCAAGTCCCCATAGGGAATTGACTGCTGATAGTGATAGCGAGCAGGAACAGTTCTATTTACACGAGAGTGAGGGCGAAGAAGCTGCAGAACTTAGTAAAGCTGACGAAATTAAGTTCTGGGCCATGAGAAATAATATATCCCGAATTGCCGTGGACGACCTTCTGCAAACATTGCATAGGGCAGGTGATCGCGATTTGCCAATGACAGCCAAAACACTTATGGGAACCAGTAGGAAAAAGGTTAGTGTTATACAAATACCTAATGGCGAGTTTTTGTATTCTTGTCAGAGAGCTTAAATTTCTTAGCCAATAAGGAAGAAATTGTAATTGACATAGGTATTGATGGACTTAGGTTGTTCAAGAGCTCTAACAGAGTATTATGGCCAATTTTAGGATCTCTTTCGGATTTCCCGCATATTAGCCCCTTTGTCATTGGTTGCTTTTCTGGGTTAAGTAAACCCAAAAACATCAACGACTTCATGCGTGATTTTTGTACAGAGGCCAAATTACTTAAAGAAAACGGAATTAAAGTGGGTTCCATGGCAGTTTTAAAACCATTTAATATTCGTGTTTTTATTTGCGATTCTCCAGCCAGGGCTTATGTAACAGGAGTAATAGGTCACAATGGAAAAAACGGATGTCCTAAGTGTAGCGCAGAAGGACTTTATAAGGAGAGAAGAGTTTGCTTTCCGAAAAAGGTTGGTCTACCTAGGTCAGATAAGTCATTCGCAATGAGAGCCAGTGCTTTTCATCACCTTACTCAGTTTAAGGAAACAAAAAGTGTTTTAGAGGAAGCGGGATTCGGCATGGTTTCCCAATTTCCACTCGATTCCATGCATTTGGTGGATTTAGGCGTAGTTAAGAAATTGCTGGAACTGTTTATTACGGGTAAAAAATGCAATATTAAAAGAATCAATGATAAACTTACTTTTGTCGCACAATTTGTTCCGTCTGAATTTGGTCGTCTTCCCAGGAGCTTAGATGAAGTTTCTAATTGGAAGTCAACTGAATTTAGACAGTTTTTGCTCTACACTGGAATATTTGTTTTAAAGGATTGTATAAGTGAAGATTCTTATTATCATTTCCTGTTATTACACAGTGCTATTAGACTTCTTTCTAGTGAAAAGTCCTGTAGAAGAGAGACCGGTATTGCCCGAAAAATGTTGCAAGATTTCGTTACTTTTTTTGGTACTTTATATGGCGATGAGAAAGTAAGTTTTAATATTCATGGGTTACTCCACTTGCCTGACTCTGTTGATGAATTAGGTCCATTAGACTCGTTTTCCGCGTACAAATATGAAAATTTCATGCAGCATTTAAAAAAAATTATTAAAAATCCTCATAATATACTCCAGCAATTGTTTCTGAGGATTCAAGAACGGCAAGGATCAGAAATGTATTTCAAAACTTTGAATGACTTTGATTCATTCACTTTGGATGATAAAAAAGAGAAAGACAGCTATTTTTTTTTTTGTGAGAAGAAAGGCCCAATCAAAGTTATAAAAGTCACAAAATCAGGAGAATCAGACAGAGTTCTGTGTAGATATTTTCAGAAAATCGAGAGCTTCTTTTTGGAACCTATTACTTCGTCTTCAGGTCTGGGAATAGTGGTTACAAGTGTTTTAGCCTCGGAAACGGTGGAAATATTAAGGAATGAAATTACTTATAAGTACTTTTGTATTCCTTTTAATGAAAAGTTTTTGCTCATACCCTTATTACACCATTTGTTTCACGACTTTTCCAATTTTGCTACACATTCAAATTAAATTAAATTTTTGCTACCATTTAATATGAATATAATATAATATATGAACCATAATAATAATATGTATGATATGATCCATGATAATAATATGAACCATGCACATGGATTCAAGCAATATTCTTGATGAGTCGTTTTGTGAGGAGTCTCCAGTCGAAAGTAAGTGGAATGTATGAAAAATGTTTCATCACATAATTCCATCGTTCTTTATTTTAGTGGGCCAATCCCTTATAAAGAAGAGGTGCTACGACACCAATGTTGAAGCGGCAGGTGTAAGCCAAGTTTGCTCTCCGAGTGATGGTAAGTGCCTATTGAAAAAACTATGTAAATAACACTTACGATTTTAGTATTAATTCTTGAAAATCATTAAAGATATTAACGCGAAGCTGGACACCAATGTTGAAGAAGAGGAAGCGGCAGGTGTAAGCCAAGTTTGCTCTCGGAGTGATGGTAAGTGCCTATTTTAAAAAACTATGTAACTAACACTTACGATTTTAATATTAATTCTTGAAAATCATTAAAGATATAAACGCGAAGCTGGACATCCTTCTTAATAACCAAAAAGCCATATGGGATACTTTGCAGACAAGCATCAACAACGTAAGTCCTTGAAATACCTCACTCTTTACAAAAGTTACATACATACATACATATAAATACATATGTACATAAATATATACATATACATAATAAATACATACATATGTATAAACAATATATATATTTTGTATATTTTTTTTATTTTAGCAAGCAAAGTTGTCAACAAATCAGGCGGAGCTGGAGAAGAAATTCATATCACTCCAAATGAATGTAAGTGTTGTTTTGTGAAAAATAAGAATTTATGAACATATGAGTACTCGATTTTGCAGGCAGTCGAAAACGCGGAATTTCTCGCTCTAGCGAAATCAGCACGCGAAATAAAGGTTTCGGTGCAAAATATAGAAAAGGAAGTTTGTCGTATGACGGGCGAAGCATGTGACAAAATTATGAACGAAATTGCCAGCATCCCAGCAAAAAATCGGTAATCGCTTTTAGTGGTAACGTGTTCTAGAAGGCATAGCGTTATAATGCCTTCAAATTTTTCCGCTTCATTTAGGCATTGCCGGTAATGCAAAGTAGAATGTCCAACAATATTTTATTTATTTCGCTTCTTTGTTTGATTTCGGGGAATGCAAAGTAGAATGTCCTATAATATTTTTTTTTTTAATTCGTTTCTTTGCTTCATTTCCGGAAATGCAAAGTAGAATGTCCTACAATATTTTATTTGCCTCGCTTCTTTGCTTCATTTCGGAGAATGCAAAGTAGAATGCTGCATCGTAGTCAGCTGAAAAATAGAACGAATACCCAAAAATTCTTTTTCTACCGTTACTTTCTGTGGAAATTTGTCTCGCATTAAAATCATGTTTTGCTTTGTTCAATTTGCAGCGAAGTTGAAGTCAGTCAATGAAGTGAAGTACAAGAGTGAGGAAGTACAATTTTAAGCTTAGTTAAATATGCATGTATGTACATACCGATTTTTAAGAAAATCTAAATACCTAAATAAATACATATGTATGTATAAAAGCTGATTTATAAAAATTTTAATTATATTTAATCTTTTAAGACATTTTCTGATTTCAATTTAATATAAATAAGTATGTACTTATCTAGGCATTCTACATTAGTTTCTCTGTAAGGCATTCTTTGTTCGCTTCTCTGGATTCTGTTTATCCATGCGTTCTCCCTTCGTTTGAAGGTAATGCTGCGGGTAAGGGCTTACCTCCAATGACATGCCCATGTTAAAATAAGGCTTGAAGCGAAAGGGTAAGCGATTCCCATCGCCTAGCTCGTTTCCACTTTCGTTTCTATGGTAATCGTGTTTTTTGCTGGGATGTTGCCCTGCTCCGCATATACCCCGATAATGGCACTCGAGGAGAAATTAAAGGCCAAGGAGTATGTGAAAGCAATGGTAAGTAATAATAGCGAATTTAACTGATTTTATTAAAAACAACCCCCTTTCAATAGACCACATACTTGTACAAGGTCAAAGGCGTGTCGGACGACGTTGGCGGTGTTTTCAAAAAGCTTTTCACCGATGAGTCCTTGGCTGAATTTAATTGGGAAGGGAGGTGGGAGAAAAAAGCCTTGAGAGAACTGACGTTATTTGAGCATGTTTTGCGCGGTAAACTAAAAAATAATAGTGTCAATAATGCATTCGTTTAAATACATTTCTTCCTTATTTAGACGTTTTCAATAAAATGACGTCCAAGGAGTTCGAGCACGCGGTTAAAAAACAAGTGGAGCGGAGTCATCATCGTCTTCATCAAAAAAAAATATGACTCCAAGAAAAGCGACAAAAAATAATGTATGTAAATAATTCATAATTACAATAATTAAATTACAATTAAAAAAAATTACAATTAAAAAAGTAATAGAATAAGTAACACATTTTGAATTTTCGTCTATTTTTATTGTTTTGTAAATATGTTAACGTTAATAGAATAAGTAATAAGTTTTGACTTTTCATCTAGTTTTTTAAACCTTTTTTTATACTTTTATGGCCTTATTCATAAAAAATAAAGTAGGTTTAAAAAGTTTTATAAATTGACGTTTTCATACATTTTTCAATTTATAAACCTTTTGTAAAGCTATTTTATTTTTTATGAATAAGGCTATTAGAATGGAAGCATACTGTCGTTGTCTTTCGAAATAAAGTTCTTTTACACATGTGTGTAGTTATTTATAAGTTATTTAAATATTTTTGTATGTGAAAATACACAGAAATATGAAAAAAATTTAAAATAGTTTTTTGATCTGATTGATTTATACATCAATCTGATGAATCAGACTTGACTACTTATTGCATCAGTTATGATTAATCAGGGCTGATTGATTTATACATCAATTTGATTAATCATACGTGACTATTATTTACATCAGCTTTGATTGATCAGATCTGACTGATTTATACATCAGACTGAGTCATCAGATCTTAGTGAGTATTGTATCAGTTATGATGGTTAATACCTGACAAAATTGTCCATCAGCTCTTATTGGTAAGATCTGAGGAATCTTTCCATACGAGCTGAGTTGATTAAATAAGGCGAGTGAGTAGTGCAAACATATGTTGCTAATATTTACAAATACGGCTAAAACCCACATGTTAAAATGAGAGGCAAAATCACACCTACAGGAAAGTATCCATCAGATTTTTCAAAACCGCTGTAGAAACCTGATGTATAATCTGAGGGGTTAATACTCCAAGGCTGATACTCAGATGATTCATCAGTGATCACTCAGTTGTCCCGTAGGGAAGACTACAAAAATGCATCTTAGAGCCATACCTAAATAAGCGCGTCAAGCGTTGGACCTGTCGGCCTCTCTTCTTCTAGCGTATATAAATTTAATGCGTCAGAGAGAGATAAAGATACAAGCGAAACGCTCAACGCGCTAATTTAGGTACGGCTGTTAGGTTGTCCGCTGCTTCGTTTCGAAAAATTGTAACTCACATTCCCAAAAAGCGCCACGGATGGTTCATCAACGCATTCCATTGTGCTTTACATGCTTCAGCACTTTTACCGTCCAGGCGATCCTTCAGCTCATTCCCGATTTTTCTAAGAAAAAACTTCTTAACAAAGTCTTCAAATTATTTATATTGTTCTTACTCACTGAACCAAACATCCTTGTCAATGCGCTTTTCCAGAAGGATTCTGCGTTCTGAACTGCTCCCTGTAAAATAGTATTCTTAATTAAAAAAATACATAACGCCTTTTCATATGTAAATCTGAAATTAAATCTTACAAGTTATATAGCTTTTCTTTATTTTTTTTGCCGGCGGGACCATGTTCTTTTATTTCCACTCGCTTTTGTTTTCTTTAATTTATGTGTATACGTGCGTTGTTCGTTCTTCTTCTTGATAATGCTTGCTGTCAAATTTTTCACTAGCCCTGCCGTATCAAACATTTTTATTCACATCATAGCTGTCAAAAATTTACTATCCAGAGAACTTTTCTATCAATTGGCACAGGCCCAGAAATAAAAAATTTTTGAGTACTCCTTGGGGGTAAAATCTGATCAGGGTTGATAATGGGCGCGTTTATAAGACGTAGCTGTTGCCCAACCGTTGGCTATTTGTCTTAGAAACGCACAGTTGAGTAGTTACGCTCAGCTCAACAGTTGGCAACTTTCCGCCATTTTTTTCAGCGGAAAATGTTTACGCTACCTGAACTCAACGTGTTAGGCTTAGCCTAAACAGCTGATCGAAAAGACTTACGCCGCTTATATTAAATTTAACGCCGCTTCGTTAGGTGGCAGTTGCAAAAAAATTTATTATATTTTATATTACTGATGTGATAAAATAACTAGAATATTTTGTAATAATACTACGTTTCTAAATATATGTTTTTAAGATGTTTGCTATATAATTTTACACTGTTTAATTCATTGTAACATTGAACGATTTTTTCAACACGGCGGCAGCTCAGCGTTGACTTCTAAATACTATCGGCGCAACTATCTCTATTTGTTGCAATTTCATTTGTTTACATTTATCAGCTGTTCATTTGGCAGCATATTCATCAAGCCGTTTCTAAGACGTAATTGTTGGATTCAACAGTTGCCAGAAGTTTCGTAGCAGATGAGCTAAACAGCTACGTCTTATGAACGCGCCCAATGAGGAGCATGAATTTTGCCGATTCAGAGATTTTCTTATAATTATAAGAGATAATTGCTATTTATTTTACAATATTCCGATATACAGTGTGTAGCCAGAGGCAGTGGCATGTGCTCATGGCAAGTGGCATGTGTATACTGTGCTCCAGGATATAGTAAGTGCCTTTTTTCAGTGACAGTTTAAACTTACAGCCCTGGGCCAATTCTGGTTCTATGAAACTGTGAAGTGAAAATGAAAATTTCAAAGTCAGTGAAAATTTAATTTGTTCATTTTATCATTTCGTTATACAATTTTAAGCTATTCCCGATCATTAAAGGCTTTTCCATGAACATATGGCATGTAAATATTGTGAGTTTAAAGCCCAATTTCAGATGGCATACTTAAGTAGAGATTGTTGGTTAACTTCCACTATTTATTTTCAGATCATACATATACCCTGGTATTCAGTAAGCGGTCTCTAGTAACTAATGTTGTTGTAGCGGCTACAACAACCCCGCCCAGATCGGTTAATATCTCAGTCGTTGTCGTCAAGCTTCACTAACGGATGCCCTAAGAAGCGTGCAGCCTCAATAGGGTCGGTCTACAGGGACAAAGGCGTTAGTGTTGTCGGGTTTTTCGGGCATACGAAGAGATGGTCGAGTCATGGGGTGTCTCTCCGCATACCGGACACTCATTTGGCACATCTGCGTCTAATCTGCTCAGTTATGAGTTTAACCTGCTGCAGTAGCCAGAGCAAAGTTGGGCTATTGTGGTTCTAGTCTCCCGAGGCATATCTCTTCGATGTCCGGTGGTTGTGCGCCTAGAATGGCATTCCCAGGTCTGGAGTCTACATAACTCGAAACTACTTGGAGAGCATTTTGTTGTACTCCTTTATTGGGAGCATTTTCGCCTCGTCGTGCAGGTGGTGTTTTGGCTACATCAGAAAGCATCCAGTCGCTGTCCAAAGTGCAGTGTTTTGAGTTGTCTGCAGCTTCATCCACTGCGTCCTATTAGTCCCAGGCGACTACACTGGTGCTGCGTAATTTTGAACCGGCCTGTTGCCTTGTATGTTGCCAGCAACGTTTCTTTGTGTTTATCCCAAGTACTGCCGTCTAGCGACTTGAGGACCTTGTTGCGGCTCTGTACTTTGTTGACAATAGCCGCTGGGCGCGCAGAGAAGGAGAGCAGACTGTCGAAGATTACTCCGAGTATTTTGGGGTTATTCACCGTCGGAATTGATGTATCATCGACGTAAATTCCCAGCGGTAGCCTGACCTCCTTCGTCCAGGTGGTGAAAAAGGTCGCAGAGGATTTTGTTACTCGTTTTGTTACCCGTTTACTTTCGAACACAAGTCATCAATTCCATTCCCGGACGCCATTATCGAACAATCGTCA